TGAAAAAATATTAATAGCGTAATCTTTTTATATAGTACTTAAAAGATCTATATTTTACAATGGAGATTTTATTCTATATGTATAAATGACCGGACACTTTTCATCTCCCAATCACAATATGCTGAAACATGTTGCGTATATGGGTGTGGTGATCGATCCAATGACTTTACCCTTTTTCCCTTTGGATCAACCAACGGTTCTATAGATTTCAGAATAATAGTATTATTTTATTTTTACTAGATGAATAAAGCAAATCTTGCGCTGACAACTAAAAAGAAAAGTTGTTATTCGAATGCACAAGTAGCTAGCTCATCTCATCTCATCTCGTTAGCTTTTGTGAGCTATAAATGGCTGGAATAACTTGTAAAAGAAGTCGCTAAAACTGAGCCGGACGACTTTCAAGTTTCAACACCTGGTCATTTTATGCCGTTTACAACTTCTATTCTCAGATTCCATGTATAACGTCCACTGCCCAATTGCTCACCCTCTCTCTCGTAGTTGAAGACTTCACGAGTTCAAATTTTGCAGTCAGGTATTATGAAGATCGTTTACGTGTAAAGTTTTCGACAAAAATTGACGGGTTATGGACTTTTATCAAACTTATAGGAGGCTCTAGGACTTCAATTTGATGTAACCAAATCATTGAACTATAATTTATGTACAAAAATAGTCACTCTGTTATCTCATCGCATTATTTAACGTTAAAATCAAATAGTCAATATGTAACTCCAAAAACCACGAACATGTCACTTCATGTTTTTAAGACACACGATTTATATGTTAAAAATTTGGCTAGAAACCGTGTTTTGTAACTCGAGTTTAATATCAAATTGGTTTTAAAAACGTGATGTTGTCAAGAGTGTCTTTTTGAGTTACATGTTATCTTTAAACGACAAATGTTAAATTGACCGGTAGATGTTAATGGAGTGTCTACAATTGCAATTTTATTAAGTTTAGTGACATGAATGTACTAAATTAAAATTTTGACTCCATTGAAAATTTGTTAGAAGTTCAATGACCCACTCTATAAATTAGTCCAAATCGAACTGCTCTACAGGCTAACATGCACATTAAACAAAATACTAACTCTAAATCCATCAGAGTGCTATTTGAATAGAGAAATGCTATTCATCCCTATTGGGGATGCATCCCTAGTCTATGTGGCGTTAATGTGAATTTCACCTATCATTTAACCAATCATTTATATCCACATAGATTGGGGATGCATCCCCACTGGGGATGAATAGCATTTTTCATTTGAATATCCAATACTTGTAGTTGGCTAACATTTAGAACCCGATGCCAACTTTGTTAACATAGGATTGGATTTTGTTTACAAAAGAAAATAGACCACTAAATGTAGTGTATGTCTGTTGATTCCCATCTCTAGCACTCACACGATCTAGGTTCCAATCAGATCGAATATATATTCGTATATCATACTTTGGACTTTTAGAAACCCGGCATATAAAAAACCTTTGTTCACAAGGCGCGGGCAGAGCGCTTTGCCTTGACAGTAAGTCTAGGCGTGCTTTATTAATATTTTTTTCTTTTAAAAAAAAAATTATTTGACTTTAGTTTATTAACTGGTTTTATTTTTAAAAGACTCTTATTTTACTTTAGTTTCAAGTTTTTAAATGATTTTATCTGTAAAAAAGTCGAAAATGAATTTATCCGATAAAGAATTTGGTAAAATTTAAGCCATGTTGCTATTTATATTATGTAATTATAATTTTGAGACTTGTTGTATTCTTGAAAACTTCTAATGTATGTAAGAAATTCCTATGAATTTGTTAAGTGGATCTTGTCTAGATGAAAGTTAAAACTATGAAAAATAGTCTAACTTTTGCATTTTGAAAACTTGAAATTATATAATTGACTAATTGTAGGAATTATTAGTTAAATATAGTCATATTATATAATTCTAGATGTTTGATATGTATTATTTTATTTTTTAAATGATTTTTAGAATGATTAAGTATTTTTTTGAAAAAAAAAACACTTTTTTTTTTTACCTCGCCTAAACTCGTAAAAGTTTGAAACTTGATCTCTACGCCTAGACATGCTTTACACCTTTTAGAACACGACTGATGTTAAATGTACACTTAAGGGGGTTCCATTTTCTATTGAATCTAATATTGAAAAAAATAACTTTAATTTATGATTGTAACACTTATTGCAACTAAATAACAACTTCATTGAATGGTAATAAGGATCTGAATTCTTAACAAACAATCTTTTATGCCCCTATCGATTTTAGAAAGAGAACACTACCGTTGTCTCTAAAAAATATTATTTGCTTTTATGTCAACATTAATATCTAACCTTTGACTTTATTAGGTTGTTGTTTGACAAATCTTTTGATAAAGATTTTAGCAGAGTTTAGATAAAATCCGATGAAATACACGGTTAAAAATTTGATAAAAATTGCGGATCTTATAAGATGCATCATTAAATTAATTGTTGATTTTAACTTCAATTTTTAAGCTTTTCCAAACAAGCACTAAAAAGTGAAAAATTCATTTGTACTTTATTGATAAAGTCTAGTTGATTTTTTTATAATATTTTGTATTCAAGTCTCGTAAGACTAGGTATCCTGAACTGTAAATTTGACCCCAAACAATCCGCACACACGAATGCTTATAAGTAAGATGCTAGACAGTACTTGCATATGATAATATCATTAGTGTACTCTTCGATAATAGAGATCAACGTCTAACTGTTGATGACATTGCTTTGTCATATTGAAAGAGAGACACTCTCGGTGTGTGACATTAAGGGATGATATGCTAGCATCATTTATGAAAGAAAATTAATCACGATTATATTTGTCATGTGTTGTTACATTTTATTTACGTCAATACGTAACAAAAAAGTTAATGCTAATATTGTCTTTCAATACATAACTTTTATATTTGTTACGTGTTGATTAGTGTCATTGGACATTTCACAAATGTAACATTCAAAATCAGAACAAAATTTAGTTGCTTTTGTGTTTGTGGGGTTTCGAATGACTTTTAGTTAGACACGATTAACAAGTGACAAATACATTCTTTAATAATCGAATATTACGATGATGCGTCCTACTTTTGTCTTTCCTTCTTTAAGAAGTTCAATGTCCCATAGAATAACTACACTTTTTTCACTCATCTCTTTTTGATAAAGTAGTGAAGCGAACATACGAGTTGGCTAAAATCAACTATCTAATATTTCACATTTTTATTTGTCAAGTCTGTAAAGAGCGCAATTTTAACGGTTAAATCACTTCCAATTTGAAATTTTGCGATCCGGAGATTCACATTAATCCGTGCCAAAAGTTGAAAAAGTACGTTAAGATCTATAAATAGGGATGACTCAATTTGATCCCCCACCATTCTAAATGAGTTCTAAAAAATTGAATTTTTTAGTCTTCCTTCTCCCCAAATATATCGTCTTTATTATTTTTAAAGATATTTTGAACTTCTAAACATTCAAGTCGTCATTATTTTGAAAGAGAAGAGTACAATCAAGAATCGATTTGACAGCCAAAATTAGTATTAGAATAAAACTTTTTGTACATTAATTGATTGACGTGGAGTTTGACACTCCACGTATTTTCAAATACAAATGGGTGAAAAAGTATATTTTATTTTAAAACTGTCCACTCATGTCACAACACGTGACACAATGTCAAACTTGATGTCAAATAAAGTGTACATGTAGCATGATTGGTCACACAATTTGATTGGGTACTTGTAGTTTCGAACAAAATCTATGGTGAAATTGGCCTATTTTACCTAACAAAAAATGTTGAATCTGGTTACTCCAACTCTCCCAGGTCGACAGAGCCAAAATGGTCCTCTCATTACAAAAGTACTTGGCTAAGGGCCTGTTTGGGTCGGATTAAAACCTGATTTTAATCTAAGTCAAAGTTAAACAATCAATATTAATTACATTTTTTATGGGTCCCACATTTTTTCAAATGCACATTTCAAAAATTTCTATCACAATCCACTAAAAATTTAATTTTAATCCCCAACAAACACTCTCTAAATTTAGAAGTTCCTCGAAGAAATTTTTTGTCCCAAACATACAATAATTGGCTACCTTTTTCTTACTTTTTACAAGTAAAATAAAATACTTTTAATACATATTTGGAAGTTTTTATAATTGGTTTAAATTATAAAAAGATACGAATGAGTGGTGAATAAGTTTGTAATTCATGTGGATAACTTGAAATATGTGAATAAAAACACGAGCCAAACATACGCATTTATTGTCAATATTATCAAAATCAAAATAGATCGACGGATTTCATAAAAAAAATCAAGAACTCGTACGATTCACCGTAAACTTCGAAACCATTGAGAAAATCAAGATCGATCAGTTCACCTAAAATTTTAATTTTACTATCACTTTGACCACAACTGATTTTTCTCACGTAGATACTTGAATTTGTAAATTTACTTATTCGAACAATTACCAACAAAAGCAAATATAAGTGATTATTTTAAACTTGCAAAAATGCATTAGTTTTTTCTTCTTCGTGGTTGGAAGTCGGAGTTATGATAATGACAATTCCTTTTGCCGGAAATAAATTGCTTTCGAAACACACAAATTTCATGGACAAACAGGAAGCATATTCTTGAAGAGAGAATGTCTTCTCTCAAGCTTCACTCACAAATAAAATCTCTCTATTTATTCTCAGCCGTCCGAAGCGCAGCTTTTCTTCTCCTTTTTTCTCCATCATCATCACCAGATTCTCACCCAATTCACTTTCTTCATTTTCTTTCCCCAAGCCAAGAATCTCTTACCTCTTTCAGATTCCTTCTTTTACATTTCTTTCTCTCTAAACTTTCCTTTGTCTATGATGCCTTTGTTCTCTCCTGTTCCCTTTCTTTTTCTCTCATTTGCACCTCCTCTCTTAGTCCCTTTCACCATTTTCAAACCTCCCTTTTGGCATCCTCAAAAATCAGGAATTCCTTCTTTTATATATATATATTTCCACCCCTATCCAACCCATGTCTTCTCCAAACGTCAACCACCTCGCTCAACCGTGCATTTACGGTATGCCTTTCAACTTGTTTCACTCATAGGTCGTACTTTTTTTGCATTTTGATTGATGCCCATATGGTTTTTGTAAACATAACGTTTCTCTTTTTTATATAAAGATCGTCTCGTTTTGGAATTAGCAATGCCCATGTTATTAGGTGTTTTGTTTGTGCTATTTTTATGTGAACATATTGAGTCCTGCAAAATTTATCTGTATGTGTAAAGATTATCCTTTTGCAGTTTTTATTTTAAATCTTTAATTACAAGTATAGAGATTGAATTTGCTCAAGTGGTTGAATTGATATGATATGATTGTGGGGTTTAAGCAGCGCATGTTGTTTCTTCATATGCAGAAAGGAAGTCAGGGATTATGAAATGGCTAAGTAAGCTTTTCAAATTTGGGACTACTAATAGAGGAGTCACATCAGATGGCCAGCAGCCTCAGTTTCTAGGGGAGGAAAATATGTCTTTGCGTGCGCCCGTTAGATCTTTGGTATTAATTATCTTACTTTTTTTTTTTAAAGCATATTTTGTATGGTTGTTTATTTTTCTTCTTCACGAATTCGTATTGTCATCTAACTTGTACATATTGAAAGTCTTAACAATCTGTGGTCTTAATGTAAGTTGCAATCATGGATTTTTTTAGGAATCTTTCCCTTAATTTAGAAGAATTTAATCTTCACCACCTTTTAAGCTCCATCGCATTTGATGCTTTTGGACATTTATTGTGTACTTTATTATGGTTTCTTTTCTTATTGTGCTCTACACTTCTATTGATTCTGAAACGCACAATGTCATGAGAATAAGATTCTGTATAAAGTTTGGAGAGGAATATATTAGTTTGTAATGCTGCAACAATGTTTCTCTGATTCGTAGAATAATAATAGGCACATTGCTTGATTTCATGTTCTTTGCCTTCTGTTACCAAATATATGTGCTATTTACTCCTCTCCAACTGTCAATATTTGCCTTCTGAAGATAAAGCCTGTTAAATTTTTTAAGATATATTAGTACTTATAAAGACCTTGGATGCATATTTAATTCTGAAGTGAGTAGAGCAATATCAATAGGAAATATGTTGCAAGAATTAAGGACAAGCATACCAAGTTTCCACAAATGTGAAATAATGAGAGCATATTAAGTTTCCAGAATATCTGAATCAGTCTTTCATAATAGCAAGCTTCAGTTTATGAAAATGATGTCAATGCCTAATAATTCCAAAGAGATGTAGAAGGAGCTCTTCATATGTGTGGGATACTTCTATTCTGTTGTACATAAACACAGAGTCATGACATGTCCACGAAGTCACTATTTTTTCTTAAATTCTCCAACTCATGCTTATAGCGATGGAAATGGAGCTTAGAGGTTGATGCCCGAAACTTCGTAATATTATTCAATACACTTATACACAACTGGTGGCTGGTTTTTTACCTTCATGCTAGCTTGATCATAGAAAATAAGTTTATTGTTTACTTATAACATTTCACGAGTTCTTTTAATAGAAATATGTTTCAAATCTCTTCAGGATGACCGTCCAAGGGCCAAAAGGGAAAAAGATGAATTAGATCGTGCAATTGCCCTCTCTCTGAATGAAGATTTGAAGAGACCAAACGGTAATTTCCCCCCCTTTTCCAGTGTGGATTTTCTGGTTATGGACTTCACCATATTTCTATTGTTTGAGACCCTCTTCTCCTGCTACAAAACATATCCATGACCTCAACTGTACCCAGTTACTGCAGAGGGTTGACGACTTCATTTTACAGGATACAGATGGAGAACAGACAATGATGAAGATCTAGCAAGGTCACTTCGTGATCGCCTCAATATATCACGCCCTCCATATGCTCCTCGAGACCCTCCATATGCCCCTCGAGATTATTATCACAGGGGACATAGGTACTATATATTCAATCTAGGTCTTGTTTGTGAATGATTTTAATCCAATTAAAATTGAAAATATAGCCGTTATTGGGTCCCGCCCGTCTAATAAAAGTCAACAATAACGGCTAGTTTTTTAATTTTAATCCGATTTTAATCCTTCCCAAACAAGCTCCTAATGTTTTTGGATAATTGATTCAATTGTCCAAGTGTCATCCACTTGAAGGAAAATTTTATGCATATATGATTTGCGGTTTTGGTTATTTGAAAAAAAACACTTTATGGAAAACGTAAATCAATTAGGACTAACCAAGTTCACAAGTTGAGTCACTTATCTTTGCTGACAGCGCAAACAACTGCCTATGATTACGTTCAATTATTTGTATAGCATAAATAATTGTATGCTCTGACATGTCTCTGAAGTGCGAAAATTACTTAGTGATGCAAACTTTCACCATTTAATCCAACTAGGAAAAATTTGATCTGTTCAGCTTCCCAAAACTGTTCATATGGATGATTTTGAAAAATGAACTCATGCAATCAATGGCAAGCTTTAGCTTGGCTGGATATGACTAATCTTGTATGCACATGCTCCATATTTTCAGAGTATGTGGTGGTTGCAACCAAGAAATTGGTTATGGAAATTATTTGGGATGCATGGGGACTTTTTTCCATCCGGAATGCTTCCGTTGTCATGCTTGTGGATACCCCATCACTGAGGATGAGGTAGGTCCCTTGAGTTTGTGTCACTTGTGCAATAGTTGAAATTATTCACCTCCAGCAGGATGGAAGATCATTCTCTTAATCTTTTTTTGGTCGTGTTCATGTTAGAAAAATAATGCCACAGGATTCTTTTCCTCACGTCTCATTGATTTTCTTTGTTGATTCAAGTTCTCTTTGTCAGGAAAGGACGCGTACCATAAGTCCTGCTTTAAAGAACTGACTCATCCCAAGTGTGAAGTCTGTCACCAATTTGTAAGGATGTAATTTGGCTGCAATTAAGACGTTTGATATTTTATAATCAATGATCCACCATGGATACTAATAATCTACTGTTGTATTTATAGATTCCAACAAATGGAGCTGGCTTGATAGAGTACAGATGCCACCCATATTGGTCTCAGAAATATTGTCCTTCACACGAACATGACAACACAGCTCGATGCTGTAGCTGTGAACGTTTGGAGGTATAAATTTTCTGAAGTTGGTTCTTGTTACTAATTTTACTGAAACTGATTTTCCACCACTTAAACGACCCCTTTTTTTCCAAGTCGAGGAAGACTAGATATGTAGCACTCGGAGACGGAAGAAGTATATGCTTAGAGTGCTTGGAATCAGCTATCATGGATACCGGTGACTGCCAACCACTTTACCATGGCATCAGAGATTTCTATGAAGGAATGAACATGAGAATTGATCAGGAAATTCCGATGCTTCTTGTTGAAAGACAAGCACTTAATGACGCCATTGAAGGGGAAAAACATGTAATGATAGTTTCCATCTCCATTCTTATGTTCTTATATGTAGAAATTCGTTTAAATTGATTTAGAAAATTTTGCAGGGTTTCCATCACATGCCCGAAACAAGGGGCTTGTGCCTCTCCGAAGAGCAGACTGTTACAAGTGTAAGATCTTCTGCATCCCTCCATCTGATTTTCTTTCATTTCCAATTTTAAGATATCACAAGTGCTACCTACGAAAAAAATAAAAGTTTATCTGTTCACCAATACTATTTTTTCATGACCAATATCCAGATACTGAAGAGACCAAGAATCGGGGGTCGTGGACTGGTAGGAATGAGAACTCAACCACAAAAGTTGACTCGCAGATGCGACGTTACAGCCATTCTGGTTTTGTATGGCTTGCCGAGGTAACTTCTGATTCAGTTTCATCTGTCATCCATTATACGACCTTTCAGGGTGGTGGTCTGCACTTTCTGCGAGGAACATCGAAAGTGTGCTGCTTCATAATTTCTGTAGTTTCATGTTGTAATATGAAATGACAGTATTTTGAGGATAGTTCACTGGCCATGTATGTGTCTAGGAGAGTATAAATTGATTGATTGCCAAGGTAGGGAGCCACTGTTTTCAAGATGATGATACGGATTAGATCAATTCTTGCTGCAGGTTACTAACTGGGGCGATCCTTGCGCACGAGCTAATGCACGGGTGGTTACGTCTGAATGGTAATACATATTAATCTCTTTTCTCAAGGGGAAGATTTATATAGATAGACGCAGATGACTTGTTTTCTTGTGCATCTTTATTAATAGTCTAACTGTATTACTTCCTTGCGATAAAGGCTACCGTAATCTCAATCCCGATGTAGAAGAAGGTATCTGCCAAGTGCTCTCATACATGTGGCTTGAGTCGGAAGTAATGCCGGGAGCCAGAAATATTCCATCCACTTCCATGGCTTCATCGTCATCAACATGGTCATATGGATCGACAAGTATGCCATCCACATTGACTGCTTCATCTTCATCCTCTTCATCATCGTCTAAGAAAGGTTACAAGTCTAGCGCAGAAAATAATCTAGGCGAATTTTTTATGCATCAGATTGCAAATGATGCTTCTCCAGCTTATGGACAAGGATTTAGATTAGCAATGGCAGCAGTAAACAAGTATGGTTTACGTAGTACTTTGAAACATATTCGCTGGACAGGAACTTTTCCATTGTAACTCTTTATGTATTGTGTTAACTTGTAACACCAGTCAGCCTTCTGCCTGTTGGAGAACACGAAAAGACTTCCTCACGAGGATTGAGTCGAAAATGCAAAGGTTGGAATAGCTCCTCCTGATTCTGTGGAGTCCTAATGAGGGTACAAGTGCAAAAGTGACTGTTCAAATAATAAACATATTTATCAATGAAATTACAAGACATTCCTATCTCTGACTTTTGACCCTTATTACTTCTAATCGTACAAGCAAACCTAAGTTCTGAGCATATACGACAAATCACAGTTAAATAATACACACCTCCACAAACCATGGCCATCGAGTTTGTCTGATCAGCTCAACACGACCATCCCCAGAACATGGGGAGACATTTTCAATAAACTAGAATGACAAAATGGTGACATGATCAATTACTACACCGGGAAAACTCCCCATGTAAGCAATCTCCAAAACCCTATTAAAGAAAGGTAGTGTCAAATCTTACACACTAAACATAAAATATATGTACTCTGCCAAATTGTTTATTCACTTTCATATTAAACATAATCATCAAAGTACACTGCTAGATCGTCTGAGAGTCAAAAGTTAGGCACCACTATGGTGACCCCGAAACAAAGACATCTAGATTGCCATCCCTAGATCCTTGGCATCTAGGGTCATGCACAAATGGATCCTTCAGATATTTAGTTCGTTTGTCAATAAAATATCTGGGACATTTGTAAGGGACATTTTCCCCATATATAGATTCATGGTAATCAAATCAATCACGACAAATCGGGCACTACTGTGGTCATACATATCAACACTTCTCATCTATTCACGCACTCCACCATTTAATAATGGATCCTATCTTTAGATAGCCAGATGCCAACAAGTCAACTTTCAGGAATATTAGAGAGAAGTTGCTTCAATTTTTCATATGTCATGAAGACAATACCCACACCTGGTACAACCTTGTAATATTCAGGCAGAATCCCACGATACAAACCTCGCAAGCCTTCAGTCCTGAATATATGCCTGAATGTACCAAAAAGACCTGTCTTATAAACAAGAGCCCTACCACCAGCTCCTTCCAACTGCATCCGTCGCCTCACAAGATCCAGGGGAAATGTAACTGCAAAAGAATATGGCATGAACTCATATAAAAATTCAGCTCCACATTCTGGTTGAAGCAATTAACTGTTCTGTGTTTGAAACTCGTTTATGTTTCTGTCCAATGATTTACACAAAACAAAACATAAATGGAATAAAACAAATCTCAAAAGGATATCTTGGTTAGTAACACATTAATTTAGAATATGATACATTTTTATAATTTAAACCTCAAAATTGCAACATTGAACTGCCTGTAACCTGTTTCCAATAATAGGTAGAACTAAATGCAATAACAAGCCTTATTGCCTGTTTGGCCCAGCAAAAATAAAATGAGAGAGATGACACAAGAAAATTAGGAGGCCTAACAATGCTGTTCACAAGGCTGCCAGAATCTTAGATCTTGACTTGTATGATAATTATGACTGGAATTTTGTATAGAGAAGGCGTTTCAGGAAGTTCATTTGCTTTAATTGTAACTAACAGGTATTAGTAGTATAGTCGTTTATGAGCACCGTCGAGGATATTTTCACCATTTTACAATATTAGGACAACGCTGATGTTTTGTACTCCTATAAATAGCTCATTTTTGTTTTGGAACATCAAGCCTATTGCCCTTCAAAATATAGCTCTTTTCTCTTCATTGACATTTACTTTCTCTTCTCATTCTTAATGGGGTTTGGGGATGGGAGTGGGGCGAAGATTGTAGGACTGACTCATTCAAGTCCAATTAGGTAAAAGAACTACAAAGAAATGCACCAATAAGATCTTATACGTTCAACTATAATTAGGGGACAATGGATATATGAAGCCTAACCGAGAAGCATACCTCAAAGAGGACACCTCTCACAATTTGGTAACTGCAGAACTTGACTCACCAAGAATTAGCCAGCTATAACAGAGCCAACTGCATATTTGGAGAGCCAAGTTATCCACAAATGCTAAGTTATACCAACCAGTATCCTTATAAAGTTTGTTTGTGAATAAGAGAAAAGCAAAAGATATTTTTTGACTTCCTTACAAAAAGTCCTGTATTCCAATATTAACATGTTGGGACCTCTGGCCATAGGGGTCAGTCTTGTTAGATACTTTTAAGAAGCCTGCACTTCAACCAGCTTCTCTGCATCAAAAGCATTGAAGACAGCTACAGGCATTAAGATCCTTCACTACAATTGTCTAATGATGTATTGGTGCAGAGAAGACATTACAATGATTACATGGTACATCATACATGTGGATGGTTAAAGAGTTGCAGAAGTTGGGATTCTTATCCCCGCTTTATTTTATCACAAGTATGGAGTCTGAAAATGCAGAAAACAACAATTTTGGGACAATATAAAAATGAAACCTTCCACTGTCTTCTAACTCCACCTGTCAGAAAATTGATAACCTTTGACAAAACACAAGAACATACAAAACTTCAATTTTTTTAGGAGTTGTATTATGCTGGTCGTATTACTCACCTGTTGATGATGCAATGCCAGAAAGACTCCCACATGCAAGGCTGACCAAAACAGTTGAGTCATCGGGTCTGATGCCACAAATAAGTACAGGTAAGTTCCCCAAATTTTTTTACGAGTTTAATTTGTATTTTGCAAAGGAGCTCAACACATAATCAAGTATTTGTTCATCATAGCATTTCAAAGTCAAAAAATAGGTGCATCGATCTATGGTGTCCTACCTGCGATAGTGCCAATAAGATCTTACTGTGTCGTACACTGAGAAGCTGATAGCCAAATTTGGGCCTACCCCCTGCATTGTTACCCAAGCTGCAATTATCCAACAGAGGAAAAGGATAATGGAGTCATTAATGAATCAAAAGACATTAAACAGTACCAACAAAGTTGCCCCAAGTCCTTTATAAAGGCCAGAGACTCGTTCCTCCTTGCTAATGGTACGTAAAGCATGAGATATTCCTCTGTAATAGATCACGTTTGTCTGCACAATCAGAAAGAAGATGAAAAGAAAACTCCTCTAACATTGTGTTTATACTTTATAGTGCATAGGGAAGAGAATAAAAGGATCAACAAGACATCAAAAGGACAAATATGAGGGGCTAATAGCTATCCACAATTTTTATCTGGATAAAGGAAGAGAAAAGCCATGAAACCATGACATATAAATTGTTCCTATACCAGTTAGTTTGATAAAGGATGGACGAGAAAAGATGTGAAACCATGACAAATAATTTATTCCTATAAGGGATCTAGAGTTTGAAGTCAGTGATAAGGTTTTCTTAAAGGTAGCACGAAGGGAAAGCTACAACCAAAATTTATAGATCCTTTTGAGATACTCGAGAGAATTGACAACGTAGCCATCGGTCGGCCTTACCACCGGAAATGTCAGCCATGCATAACGTTTTTCAAAGTTCTTCGGAAAAGGGTACTACTGGTAACAGAAAATTTACTTCGGCATTTTTCATCACTTCCTACCATCCCCGTTTCCTTTCCTTCTTTGACCTCAACAAGCACCACCTTCTCCAGCTCTTTTCCTTTCCTTCCTGCTTAACTTCAAACAAAATAGAGTCGTATGTAGTATAAACGAGATTGTTTCCTGTTGAAAAAGGGCCACAATCAAGTCCGAAAACAACCAAAGAGAAATACCAATATAGTTTAGTCAGATATCCTGAAGGACTGTCATGCAAATTCAACATTTAAGCCCCTTCCCTCTCTTCTCACACCCCTTTTTGTTTCTTCCTCCCTCTTTTTCTCCCACAAGATAGAAAATATTTCAAAAGCCAGGTCATAAACTTGTCAGAGAAAAATAAAGAGAGAACTTGGAGAAGAAGGGAGAGAGAGAAATTGGAAGGAAATTTCAATATGCCAAATATATTGCAATCCTATATTCCTGTTTTTCCTAATTATGTCTTTAATTCCCCATCACTAGGTGTAGAAGACTATTCAAGCCAGAAGACAACTGATCTTTGCTCCACATTCTCTCCTCCAAGATGTATGAAACCCATACCCCCGACGACCCCCATTGAAATCCTATAGCCCTAATTATATCTTCAATTCCCCATCACTAGGTGTAGAAGACTATTCAAGCCAGTAGGCAGGTGATCTTCGTTCCAAATTTGTTCTCTAAGCTTTATGAAACCAATCTTCCAGCAGAACATCATTCCCCCTAACAAAAGATAAATTTAAGTTCGAAAAGAAAAACAAAAACAGAGAGTAAAAGTAAATAATAAAAAAAAGCAGAGGAAGCATAATTTTTAAATCTGCAGATTGCGAACAATTCCAATTTACAATTTAGATACCATATAAGATTATATGTAATCCCAGTACCAGAAAGAATCAATCTTGCAGAGCAGTGGCAATCTTATATCAATAAACTCTAAACGAGCATACGGTGAACTGAGCCAATATAATAATGTAAACTGCGAATCATCATGTTTCGACATAAGAACAAAAATATCCTTGTAAATACCAAATATTCTTTCTTTACCTGGGCTGCAAGGCGTGTCCTTACAAGATCTAGAGGATACGTAAGAGACGCAGCAGTTATTCCAGCCAAACCACCACCTACAAGTCGTATACAAAGGTCTGCACTCATGTTATCTCCTTGGCTTTCAACTCCCAAAATGAGCTGTAGCAACTGTCACATGAAAAGGCAAAGTATATACCTAAAAAACTGAAAAAAAACTTTGCAAAATAAGAGTTCCTTCACTGGACGTTTATACCAACATTCTTGTAGCGTTCGAATGCATAAAAGCTAACGGAAGAATAGGGAAGACGATGGACGATTGTAACCAAATTTCCCTTCCAAAATGCACGAAATCCTTCCTCTCTAACAATCCGTGATGCTTCGCGCCATATATTAGCCTTTCGTAAGCTAGCAGCATCAGAGTGCATTCCCTGCACCTGCCGATAAAATGATGCCATGATTACTTATGTCATAGACAATTATATATAAAAGAAAACGTGGGAATTCATCCAAAATAATTACACCTTAAGAGATTGAAACAGAGAGATGATATGCTAAACTACGCCACTACTAACCGCTAAGATCCTTCAAACATTT